CGCCTGATCGTGGCCCGTCTTTCTCCAGGAACGACGAGGACAACTTTCACGGGCCCGGGGAACGGTTGTATTCGTTCTCAAGAAATTTTAATAGATTTGCATCGTGTTTTAGCCCCGGGGAAAATTACCGGTTTCGGTAAAACGGTCTCGGGTTCACCATCACCTGATACGTCGTAAATAGGGGGCACGGTGACGCAGGTGTCCGCCGCGAAGGGCGAGAATACTCCTGCGCGCGAGCGTGTGACTTTATTAACGGCTCTTTCACTGAATAACTGGAAAATGATTGAATTAAATCATTGGTTATAAACTTTCATCGTTGGCGACTTCGTGGCGGGTTGTTATACGTACACTTAACACTTTTAACGATAAATGATGTAGCGTCTTTCTGCAATACTTGGATGCCTTTAACACGGCGATACCGAGTCACCTCATTTGCAAAAATAACATTCCTCGGGTTACAGCGCTTGATAACTTTTTCTCGTCGTAAATACTTCCGTTGAGAACTGCTTATTTTGTTTCGTAAGAAGAAATAACGGTACAGTTGAATAAAGAAGACGACGTATAATTTATTTAGAGTTAAATTGTAATAAAATTAAGCCTCAATTCCCTTCAGCAAAGATCATAAAGTACTCCGATGTAGAATGATGTACGCTGTCAAGTATATGCAGGAAATCATAGATAAGCAAGATATTCAACATATCCAATTACAAATGCAGCAACAGTCCCTGAATAATGTATACAATATACACAACTGTCTGCTACAAGCATTCAACCACGAACGAACATTGTTGATCACCCACGAGGTTATGGGTTGAACATTCGACTTTCAAGTTCCTTCAGCAAGTAGAACAGATTGCGATCGTACGCCTTTCTCCGATACCAATAACACCGCCGGCTCTACGAAACCTAATCGATACAGAAAAACACAAATCGACGAACGAGAATAGAGAACATAATAGAATGCAGCGGCCGTAGCGTAATGGGCCAGGTGCACGAATCGTAAAGCTAATTCTGCCACGATATTAATTAATTCTGTACACAGACTATTCGCGGCGCGTAATTGTTTCCGTTCATTAATCGAATCAATCAACTGGAAAAGAAGATATGTGTTTACTTTCACTCGCGAAGGGGAACGGTAAGAAATCGAGGAAACGGCGGAGCGCAATAGGAATTCAAAAATAATAGAAGGAAACTAATAAACGTTTAGCGAGAGTGGTCGAGAATATTCTTCGAAATTTTGGGAAATTTTTATGGAGAAAATACTACTTACAGCAGATT